TCTTATTTCAGCATCACTATGCTTTTAAAACTCATTTCATCCTGCTGGAGGTCAAGGACAAACCTCCCCTTGGGAGAAACGGAAGAACAAAGATTTGGAAACTTGAAGTCTTGAAAATGCTGCAGAAAAGCCTCAAAACAGCTGCTCAGTCTGCCCCGTTTCCCTTTCATTGATTTAATTCTAAATACCTGCAACAGCTCCGAAAACGTACAGGATTTTTATGTAAAACATAAATTTAACTCAGATTTGATGTTGCCATCACATTCCCAAGGGAGATGATGATGATAAAATCCTTCCAGACATTTCCCCCAGCTCAGCGCTGGCTGTGAGCAAAGCTGCCCAGTGGCTCCTGGAACAGGCTGGATTYATTCCCCGAAGCTGGGAAAGCTCATCTGGGAGCACACATCAGATGTGGCAGGRATCCAGGCTGCCCTGGATACCGATACCTGTTTGGCTCCTTTCTTGCAAACAAAGCTCCATTCCAGCAGCTTCTGTCTCACAAACAGGAACTCTCTTTTTTTTTGCAGGTGCTTTAATCCATTACCTTCCTTCCCMCGTGGACCGTGTGCATTTCAGAAACATTTCCTTTTCCAGCAGCAGGCTGCTGGGTTCAGAAAATCTTTAAAAAAAAAAATCCCCATCAAGCCTAAAACTGCTCAGCGACCTCTTTATGTTTGGGAGCTGTTGGCAGAGCTGGAATTCTGCACAGCTGGRATTGGCAACCTCTGGGAAATAATTCTTTGGGCTCTCACCTGGGAAAGGAAAGCTTTGGTGGCTGACAGTGAATTCAGGGCTGGGTGAACCKTTTTTTTTKRAAAAYATGAAATATTTTCCAGGATGGATGAGGCTGGGTGGCCAGAGCAGGTAGCAGGCTTTATTTGAGGGAAGAGCAGTGGGATTTAATGAGGAATGAGAATCAGCACCCAGCCAAGACTGCAATGTCTTCTACAAGGTTTCAGTGGTGTCCTTTCAAACTCTGCCCAGGGCCAGAACATCACTTTGTGTTCACCTGCAATTCCTTCTGCTCTGAAACAGAAATCAGAGCTGAGAGAGGTTCTGAGGGCTGAGAGGCACAGCAGMGGGTGAGAAAACAAAGCTCTGCTGAGCTCAGAGCTGTTCACACACACAGGTTCACGTGGGGCTCTTTATTTCAGGTGAGCTCCCCCAAATGTCCCAGTTTCCCCCACACCAAACCCACCCCAAATGTTCAGCCACTGCACCATTTTCATCCTTCCAAGCCCATCAAGGGATGGGATTCTCCCAAAGCCCAGCAACCTCGAGAGATCAACCCCAGCTCTTCCTCCTCACCCAGGGGAGGAGCTCAGAGCCAAAACAGCTCAAGAAACTCAGCTGGGATCTTCCAGCCACTCCTGAAGTGACAAAAACACATTTTCCATCCCAGATCTTTGTGGATTTGGGGATGTTATGTTTGGTGTTCACTGCAGAGGTGCCCAAAATTCCTGTCTTTAAGGAAACAGGGATTTAATGCCAAGTCTTGAAACTGCAACAATTTGAAAATCTTTCATTCTGCACAAATTTCTTTCCTTATGAGTAGGCAMAAGTGGTGTAGCTCATAAGAAACTACTCTCCAGTGAATGTCATAGAAAATCAAATACTTTAATGAAATTAGGGAGCATGAGAGTAACAGCTCAGATATACCACTAGAACTGATACTACTGGGCTGTGGGGCTCTGCTAATTGGTTTTTAAATGCTCTGTTCATCAAGCATGCAGACCGACAGAACTACTAATTCTTCAGAGTGTCAAAGATCCTGAGTAAAGAATTTCCAACCACTTCAAATGGATATAAAGGAAACGTCTTCTGAGCTGGTGGCCCGCACACAGCATTGCACAGATAAAAATATACTACTCTCAATGCACAGAGCTAAATACTTTCACATTTATCAGAATTTTCTACACAAGTTTGCTTTTTTTTTTTGATAGAATTCAAGTTTTGAATTTTCTGTATATATCTTCACCTGTATTAAACAAATGCTTATTTACATCGTGGGTAAAGTGTAAAGGCTTAGGRAGGCCATTTTCCCATACTGTACTGTAACACTGCAAAATATATATATACACATGGAGAACCTAATATAGGCAACAGGTCTAAAAAAAAAAAATCACCTCCCACCTGTACAACATCATGGAGCCAGTATGAAAAAAGGGTGTTGTTAGCACCAAACCACTCCCAGSGGCTTGAGGAGCATTCCAAGGCCCCAGGGCTGCTGCCTGCAGGACTGGAAATCCCAAAAGGGCAGCACAGGAGCAGCAGTGGGAGCRGGTGACAGTGACAGCCACGGCTTCCCAATCTGGCAGGCTTTCCTTTGGATTCATGGAYGAGCAAAACACGACTCAAATGAGGGGTGGCTCACAAACCACAGTGACCCTGCAGGGGCCACCAGGGAAGAGCTCCCTCCATGGGGAAATTCTGAGGGGAGCAGCCTGGCTGTGCTCAGGGTGCWGAGGGAATCAGCCCTGGCCCACCAGAGGGAATTCC